ATGCAAATATCGCATGGGGTAGTGCTAAAAAAAATCAATTAGATCCTCTATATCGGCAACAGAAGCTTATAGCACGTTTAATAAACTTCAAAGATTGTTATACTTATGCCAGACCTCTTTTATTGGAAATGAATGTTCTTAATATATAGCAGCAAAATGTTTTTAATGTTCTTTTATTTATGTACAAATCTAAGATAAACCTAACCCCTATATCCTTTCAAAATTTATATGCAATAAAACAAAAAAACAAATATGACTTAAGAAATGACAATCTTATTCATCAACATTATTTTCATACAAGTTTTGGAAGATCTCTTTTAAGGGGGAAAACCTCTCAGAAAAAATTTTTTTTTTCAATTTTTTTTTTCCAGATATTTTAAAAGTAAATTTATTAAGAAATCAAATGGTAAAAACCTTAGTCGAAATTCGCTTTTTTTTATATCAATAAATGACACTTTTGTACAACCACCTGAGTTCAAAATTACCTAGCAACGCCCCTAGTTACAGAAAAACTGTGAATAAAACACATCTAGTATAGCTTTTTGACCGGTTTTTTTTTTGCAGTTTAGTTTGAAATGCTTCCCATTATCTCTAAAGCCATACTTTAAAACCACATATTTGACTGATAGTGCTAAAATTAGTCATCTTTTCAAGCTTCTACACAATCAACTCAAGCTTTCTATATAATTAAAAAAAATGGACAAGTCTAAAACTGAATATAAAAGTGATAGAGTAAAATTTTCTACAAAACGTCTTCGAAAACGTAAATGTACATTTTCTGGTTTAAGAAAGCAAGAAAAATGTGTAAATATTGGTGTAAATAATGTAAATATTAATAATGAAAATATGGTAGACTCTGTAAATATTGAAAGTGAAAGTGTATTTAAAAGTGCATCAAAAAAAAAAGTAAAGCAACTAATGGTTCCAAGTGGAAACTCAAAATGTGTCAGTGGCTACAGGTTTATTGATTTAGAAATTCTTGCTTCCATTTTTGATAAACTTGGGTGTCCAGAATGTTTGCGACCATCACAGTTGTCGTTAAGCGAAAATAAAAAGTCTTGCAAAGGATATGCATCAAATTTATCATTAAATTGTGTTTGTGGTTTCAAGTTAGACTTTGACACATCAAAAAATGTAGCAGGGTTTGATATTAACAAAAGAATAGTGTATGCCATGCGAACACTTGGTCAAGGCCAAGCTGGTCTACATCGGTTTGCCACTCTTATAAATATCCTAAAAGGATTATGCAATAAAAGCTATAATGTTATTGTTCAAAAATTGGCAACTGCAGCACAAACTGTTGCTGTTGAAACTATGAATGAAGCTGTACAAGAACTCAGAGAAGGCAAATCTCTTAATGAGATCTTAGATATTGGAGTTTCTGTTGATGGAACATGGCAAAAAAGAGGATTTAATTCACACAATGGGGTGACGGCAGCATTATCAATTAAAAATGGGAAGGTTTTAGATGTCGAAGCATTATCTAGAAAGTGTAAAGTATGTGACAAAAATCAAGATGTTGGTAATTCAAAGCAGCAGCTAACAGCAAAAAAATCACATATTTGCAATAAAAACTATGAAGGATCAGCCGGTGGAATGGAAACAGTTGGGGCAATAAAGATATTTAATCGCTCTTTGCAAAAATTTAATTTACGATACACAGAATACTTGGGTGATGGTGATAGCAAAAGCTACACTTCTGTCAAAAACACATACAAGGGTATTGAAGTAATTAAACTAGATTGTATTGGACATTTTCAAAAGCGCATTGGATCTCGTTGTAGACAATTAAAAAAGCAAGTCAAGGGTTTAAATGGTAAAGGCGGTTTAACAAACGCTACAATTGATCGGTTGCAAAATTATTTTGGTATTTGCATTAGGCAAAATTGTGGCAACCTTGAAGGTATGAGATCTTCAGCCTTGGCTAGCTTATTTCATGTAGCATCTTCAAGAAAAAATAATTGGCATTACCCGCATTGTCCCACAGGAACAGATAGTTGGTGTAAATACAATCGAGATAAAGCTAATGGAACCAAAGAGTATAAACCCGGACCAGGTCTTCCTATTGAAATAGTACACAAGTTAAAGCCCATTTATGTAGAACTAACATCAGATGCTTATTTAAATCGTTTGCTTCATGGAAGAACACAGAATCAAAATGAAAGTTTTAATGCAATGATATGGTCTAGAATACCTAAGTCAAAGTATGTTTCGCTTACGCAATTGAAATTTGGACTCTATGATGCTATTGGTGCCTTTAATATAGGATTAAAGTCTAGTATACTTATATTTGAAAGACTTAATATGATACCAGGGCAACATACCATTTCTGGATGCAATTACCTAAACCAGAAAAGAGTTATGATGTCAGAGTATAAAAATCAAGACACCATCAAAAAAAAAAGGAAGATTTTAAGAAGCCGCAAGCTTAAAAAATTTGACAAAGTTGAACAGAAAGAAGGAAAATTGTATGGAGCTGGTGTTCATGATTAAAAAACACAATCAGTATGCTCTTTTTATATTATATTTTTTGTATCTTTGTTATTATATAATATTTTTCATCACAATTTCAACTTATTTGGCATTTTTCTCAGAACGCGTGTTTTTAATCTCCCGGCAGAAGTATCTTGAGAACCGCTTGACCGATTTTAATGAAATTTTCAGGGAGTATTCCTCTCATAAAGATGTATGCAATGAGCAGACAACTTTTTTAAAATGTTTTTTAAACTTAAGAAATTAAAAAAAACATCTATCATTTTTGTGCTTGAAATTTTTGCCAAAATTAAACAGGCCTACTACCTGACAGAAAAGTTATTTTCAAAAACTGTCTGCTTATTGCATAGATCTATCTTTTAACTATAAGTTAGAAAAAAATCAGCTCAAAGTATCATTCTAATTGACTGCAATCTTTGCCAGGGTGAAGAGACTAATTTGACATTTTCCCTTAGTAACCGCGTTGCCATGGCAACAGAGTGCCATTTTTTATGATAGATCTTCTTAACATTTAGTATACTTTTATTTGAAACATGTAATAACTTTATTAACGCTTTACTTCAGAAAATAAGTTTTTGAGGGGTTTTCCCCCTTAACATATCGCGGAGCTCTTCTGTGGAACAAAATAGTTTTGAAAAGTTTTGATTTTTCCCAAAGTTGGAGTTTTCTTATTTTTAAAAATAAGTTGGAAAAAGTTATCTTGTTAATTGATAATATCTTTGAGTTCTTTTGAGTTACACCTTTTAAAGAAATGTATAGTTCCTGAATATATTGTTTTATTTTGAAATATTTAGTTTTATATATATTCTTTATGTTGTTAAACATTATTTTCTGTTTTAAAATATCTGGTTAAATTTAAAATTTATTTTTAAACGTCATTTATTGTAATTATGTAACTGGTTTTAATTTTACTGTATTGTTAAACGGTTCTCAGTGACAGTGATATTACGATCCTCTTTGGGTCTCCGTGTTCTGATATTTAATGTACAACGATATTTATACCATAGTTGGGTAATTTTTATACCATAGGTAATTTTTGCCGTTTTTAACTTAACGTCTTTTATTCGTCTAAAGATATCTTTTTTCCCGCTGGGAAATTAAAAATTAATTAATAGTTTGTTTAAATAAAAAATTAATTAATAGTTTGTTTAAATAAAAAATTAAATAATAGTTTGTTTAAATTAAAAATTAATTAATAGTTTGTTTAAATAAAAAAATTAATTAATAGTTTGTTTAAATAAAAAATTAATTAATAGTTTGTTTAAATTAAAAATTAATTAAAAGTTGACAAAATACTCCTAGAAGTATTTGTCAACTTTTAAAATTAAAAACTAAGTGTCTGTTAAATATTTTTTCTTAACCAGGACTTTGAGAAATAGCTAGAATTATGAGGCCCATTTACACGTAATGCGATATGGGCACACCCGAAAAACCATCCGATCTAATGGAGGAGACAAACTTTCCGAATCTGGCTTCAATCGGAATTTAAATAGTTTAGATCACTCAATGTAACTAAGGCATAGAACAAACAAACTCGTAAAAAAAAAAAAAAAGCCGATAATTTAAAACAAATCCGAATGGTCGTTAGTGAAAAACCGAAAAACTTTTTATTTATTGGTATTTAATTTATGCAAACAAAGTAGTGTTGCGAAGGTAAAATTTACCGGAAAACTTTTCGGTAAATTTATCAGAAAATTTTGAAAATTTACCGCCTGGTAAATTTTAAAAATTTTTTTCACTTATTTTTATTTATTTATTTATTTTTTTAATTTTTTTAAGGAAAACTTACCCTCCTCTATTTAAATTTTACCGGTAAATTTTGAATCAAATTTTACTGGAAAATTTACATCACTAAACCAAAGAACTCCAATTGAAAGTAATTTGTTTATAAAGTTTAACGCCTGTGTTTTTAAATTGTTTACGCAATAATTATTTCTTTCAAGATTGCATAATAAGTCCCGATTATTTTAGAAAATGATACTAAATCCCGATAACATTTTTTTAAAGGGACTAAAAGTTATGATTATTTATGCAAAAACGACTTTGGTAGAAAAATGAACACTGCCATAGGTTATCTAAATCTAACGTGACATTATTGTTAAACATACTCATTTAGGCATTTAGGTGTGGCGTTAAAAATAGTAACTTCAATTTTTATAAAAAATGGTTTTTCATGAATAATTTTCCCAATTAATTTCTAATTAAAAATGTCAAGCTACATTCATTGAAAACAAACACCGATACATACTTTTATGAAAAAATCAAATTCATAGACTTATCTATAGCCAAACCCCAAGATACTTTATGTTAAAAATTATATCTTTTCTAAAAAAAACTACGCTTGACGATTTGTTATAGTCGCATTACTTTTACCAGATTACAATAGTTTTTAAAATAATCTTTCCATATATACCAAAAATTTCATACTTTTTGATGAAAAAACTTACATATATTGTAATTGAAAAAACTTATATTTTTGTTCGGAAAAACGTGTACCAGGCCTTAGTTGGATTGGGTAATAGAAAATATTCGGATAACAAGTTTTGATAATAATAACACCATTTGCTCGATTTTGTGATGGCGTTAGCTTCTGATTCTGCTATTTCTTCTTCTTTTAGAATATTTATAGCAAAGTTGACAGACGAGCTAACCGTGTCTGATCTAAGGAAATTAAAATTTCTTTTGAAAGATAATTTACCTGGTAAGGAGATAGCAGTTTAATCTTCAAATATTTTAATTTTAACACAATATACAATTTACGACTTCTTTCTCAATATTATGATGAACATAAACATCAGGACGTTTTATCTTAACTGGCATGTATTTCACTTTAGCCTTATTTTTTAATGTAATATTCCAGCAATAAAAATGAAATAAAATTTATTGTTTGCAATCAAAACTTCGGGTAAAGGAGGAAAATAGGTAATTAAAAATTAGTCCTATTAAAAATTAATTTAATTAAAAATTGCGAAATGTAAATTTTAAATGGACTACTAAATTGTTTAATATCATAGGAAAGGGTTTTAATGAAGTGTTTTAGGTGTGAAAAAAATTATCAAAGTTGTTTAATTCTACTAAAATTTTTGAATACCTTTTTTTGATGTATGAATTTGTTTTAAAAAATGTGACCTTAAAGTGTCAATTCTTATCAAAGTTTATACAACTTTGATATAAAACTTTGAATAAAAATTAAAGATCTTTAAAAAGAAAAAAATTACTTACATGTTTAAGGCATATCAGTGGAGCAAAAGAACCATCTGCTACATCTGAAACTCAGTCACTATTTGAGTACGTTTAAAAACTTTTTTTTGCAGGTGACTAAAACATTTTTTGATAAGTTGCTGAACTTTGTCTCTACATAAAACCGTTGTAGTAATTTGCGCCAAACTCTTTTGACATGACAATCAACACCAACATATAGTGGCTAAAGAATATGTGACGAGTGGGCTGGTAAGCAAATTAACAAGATATTGTTTTTAATGCAAATAAGTATGACCTGATAAGTGACATGTGTCTCACGACCATCTACAACTAAAATATGAATACCTAAAATTAGATAACGTTATTTTTGACGTCATTAAATTCTTTTTATTTGCTTTTCATATTTATCGACATTAACTGCACCAATTTACTCAGTTACCGCAAAACTACTTTAAATCATTAATGTAGAAATGTTATTATTTAAAAATGTTTTGGAATGTTTCGTTTTTTAAAATGTAAAAACATTTGTTTATGTTCTCGACGTTTGACACGTTTTGCCTGTACTAAACGAATAAAAAACATTATAACTAAAACATTTAAAAAAGATTATAAGATATGCTAATATTTGATTTTTTTTTCTCAAATATGTAAACTAAAGTTTTTCAAATATTTATTTTTTCTTTTTTAAAAGTCAGCGAGTAATAAACTGGAAATTTTAATTTTGTACGATTAAAAACTGTGCAATAGCTAATATTTTTACTAGCGATTTTATATAATATTTTTTTATTTATTTACTTTTATTTTCATAAAGCGGTTGATAAGCACGATCACTCGTATTACTAAAAAACTTTAATGAACGTTTTGAATAGATTTTTAATGTTTACGAGGAATTTTATTTTTGGTAAAATAAAATGTTAAAATAAAAATCTTATAGGTATAAAAGACATATTTCAGCGAAAAATTTATACTTTAAAATTATTATTAAAAATTATTCGAAAAACTATTGACGTTCTATTTTTCTTGAGCACGCTTCGTTGAGTTTTGGTAACTTTTAACAAAAAAGCGATTGTTAATTTTTTGGAGTTACTTTTTACAAAATTTTTAATAGCTGTACTTTTTTATTGAATCAAGTAGAATACGTTTTAATATTAATCCTTTTATTTATTTATTTTTATTTGCGCTTACCAATTTTTAAAATGTTTACTCGAAATTACTCTTAAATACTTTAAATACGTCTAACAGTTAATAAATATTTTTAAATCTATGGAATAATTTTAAAACCTAACAAACCCCCGTAAAATAATTATAAGTTAAAAATCTAAAACTAAAAGAAAGTATTTTTGTTCAATTTATTAACAACTTTGTTATTGCTGAATAATTTTATTAAAATGTTAGCTTAAAAAGATTTAAACTATTTTTTAATCTGAATTTTTTCTACTTGTAAATAATGAGCATTTAATTTTTTTGTAATTCAAACTTTTATGTCAACTGCGTGCGGTTTTTAAAATACTTTATTAAATGTTAAAATAATCGAAAATTACTTCATTAAAATTCCGCTCAAAAATATCTTTAAATATACTCAAACAAAAAATTTTTTGCTCTACGCAAATAGCCCTAGCTACACGCAAAATCGCTCTTGGACGATGTAAAATTCACATCGCCCGACGCTTTATCCCAAGGCCTGATATATATATATATAAATATATATATATATATATATATATATATATATATATATATATATATATATATATATATATATACGTATTAATATATATATATATATATTAAATATATATATATATATATATATATATATATATATATATATATATATATATATATATGCATTTATATATATTTGTTTTAGCATATCAATATATATATTTATATATATTATATATATATTTATATATATATATATATATATATATATATATATATATATATATATATATATATATATATATATATATATATATATATATATGTATGCATATATATATATTTGTTTTAGCATATCAATATATATATATATATATATATATATATATATATATATATATATATATATATATATATATATATATATATTGATATGCTATATCAATATATATAAATAGTCAGAGACCCTTAACTTAAATGTACATATGGAGGCAAAACACTTTAATCTTGGATTGATTCGAATCCATAGATCGTGTAATGCAGAATATTGCGTCAAGTTAGTTGCAGGAAGGCTAAATGTCTTCAATATCGACCTCCAAAAAGACATTATCGCCATGACTACTGATGGAGCAAGTGTGATGGTGAAAGTCGGTAAAATGATGTCTTGCTATCATCAACTATGTTATGCTCATGGAATACAACTTGCAGTTATTGATATCTTATACTTATTTGACCCAAGAAGAATGGTCCCAAATTAATGGCTTAATTATTTGTTTGGCACCACTAAAACTTGGTCTCGAACTATTATGCAGGAGAGAATCAAACCTTGTCACTGCGGAAACAACTTTTAAATTTATGTTAGATAAATTACAAAAGCAATCATCACTTTCAAATATGAACAAGAAATAAAAAAAAAATTCATATATGAACAAGAAATAAAAAAAAAATGAAAATACTTTTTCAATGCCAAAGAGAACCGTTATGCGTCAAGAAATAAAAAAAATATTGACAAGAGTTTATACAATTGAAAGAAATAAAGACGAAGAAAATAAACTTGAAGAAAAAGAAGCTGTAGATTCTATTAACAATTCCCAAATACTTACTCCTACAATTCTATTGCTGAAAAAAGAATTGGAAAATTATATACAGAAAGACAAGAAAAGCAGGACAGAAAATGTAAAGGAGATACCAAATTTAGATTCTTTAGACTTTGATAAATTATTGAAGCAGGAAATGTCTGCCTATGAAAATAACGGAGTAAGAGGCAAGTTTCTAGATATAGCTCATAATTACTTGATGACCATATCACCAACAAGCGTAGCAGCCGAGTGAGCTTTTTCAGCTGCTGGCTATATATGCAGTCCTTTGAGGAGTAGATTATGTGATGATACTTAAGTAGGGTCTGTTTGTTAAGAGCGCATTTCTTTCAATGATACTTTCTCATACTTATTTTTAAAAATAAGTAAAGCTAAAAGACGTTCTACGTAAAGCTAAAAGACGATTTACGTATTTTTATCTTATCCTTTTGTTCATTAAATTAAGAATTATATTGATTAATAAATGAATTGTGTTTTTGGCTTCATTTACCTCATCTTATCAATTTAATAAGTTGAGTATATTTTTTCTAAAATAATTGAAAGAAAAATACAATTATCATTTTGCCTTTTATAACGTGCATAAGAAATCTACCAATCCCGCGCGGGATCCTGTGGGATCCGCACAAAATTTAAAAAGTTCGCGCGGATCCCACAGGATTGAAAAGTGTGTAGCATTGCAATCCCTAGTTACATCATTCTTTTAGCAACAAATGTTTGAATTGATATCTTGCTTATGAAACTACTTCAACGAAATAGATCTTTATACTTCCAAACTTCTTGCATATTGTTTGCGTCAGATCGAGATTTTTTTTAAACTTTTTATGGTAAAAAAAAAATAATATCAAACAAAAATGCAAATTCTTATTGATTTAGTATTGAAGTATAATTTAGTGACTTCTTATTGATTTTGTATAATTTATAAGTGAAGTATAATTTTAGTTTTTTTCTTACGTTGTTTTGATAAATGTATTTAAAAATGTTACGCTGTAAACTTAATTAACGGTTAATCGTTTTTATATTTCTTGATATTTTTTATTCAAATTAATTATTTATTTTTTTCTGAAATTTCTTATTTAAATTATGTTTTTTTGTCTTAAAAAAATAACACAAAAATAATTTGAAAATCTTCTTTTTTAAAAACTATTCGTTATAAGTTAAATAACAGATTTTCCCCTCAACTGTTATCAACAGTGTTTCCTCTTCTACATTTTTGAAACTGAATGCAGTTAATGCGTCAGTCATGTCTTTATCAGCACTGTCTATTTTATCATTGTCATCAAGAACTTGATTTGTAATCAATGCTGTTGCTTTTGTCAAATAGTCAACTGGATCATCATCAACTTGAACCACTCGTCTCTTATTCAAATAAATTTCTTTTTAGCAGGATTATTTCTTCTATTGACCAGCTTCCATAGTTTTCTAATATCATAATGCTATCATTTAGAGTGTCGTGATTCATAGATAAACTTTGATCTGATAATATGCTAGTTACTGTGCTAAATATTCGCTCCGCACTTGAGTTTAATCCGGAAAATGCCAAAAATAATCGATATAACTTTTAATAAATTAGGAAACTTTCACTTTTTGTACGAGAACTTCGACCTCCAAATTTCTTTTGTCTGGCGATTGCGTACCATTGCTTCAAGATTGGTTCTTGAATGAAACAAAAATAATTTCCATTCTTGGAAAACTAATTTTTCATTAAAATTGGAATGTTCCAATGGTATTTTAAAATGCG